AACTTGTAATTTTTTTACTTCAAATTACAATTCTAACTATTGTTTGTCATGACTGACAGTTAATGTGCACAGATGTTCACTTAAAAAGGAAATTAATGTTACTCTTTTCATTAAAAAAATCCTAATTCCAAAAACAAAAATAAATAATAAAACAACCTAGAATCTTATCATTATTAGGGTGCTGGCAAACATGCAGCAGCAGCACTGTTACAAAACTATTAGAAGTCAGGCTGTTAAGCTATAAATTGTTCCTTTTGTTTTTAATTTAATACAGTTCCACTCTTACCTATAAAAAGAAAATCAGTTTTGAGTCATGGCACAGAATATTTAAAGGAAATGTCAAGTGACAGTATTATCAGTTATTAGTTACTCAAAAACCCATTCTAGTTAAAAGCCAGTTAAATCCTAATTTAAAAGGCTTCATTCACTATATGTAGATTTTACGACAGGGAGCTCTCACACCTTTATTGCTTTAGTCTATTGTTTCCTGAGCCTTTTTTTTTTTTAAGTTAATGAAGTTGAGATGATAGGTGAAAGATCAGATTTAAAGAAGGAAAAAATTACCAGAACCCCACAGGGTTATTCAATAATGACTTTATGATTTGAATTTCCACTTGAGCATGCACTGTAATTCACAAATCTCAGGCTATTTTATTTCAGAAAGATCTTATCAGTTTGACTTTTGGGGGACCAATTCTTTACCTGCATCAACATTTAAACTCCAAAAGTTTCACCTCAAATGTCTAATAATGATTGGTCTTGACTGATCATTGGATGCCACATTCAGATCAATTAGAAAAGCACACGTACCACAAGTTTCTGACACAGGCCTTTCCGAGCTGATTTCTTTATCTTATTTTATACATATCCAATTTACTAATGTGGCCAAAGTCCACCTGAAATTTGATAGAGATAACTTACAATGTTGGTCGTCAGATGGCATTTTGGTGTTTAGATATAGCTCTTTTCCTTTCCTGCTACCCTTCTCAAAATCAGGATTACTTCTAAGCAAAGAACTTATATTTACAATACAAGGAAGAAAGTCCAACAGAGAATTACTTCAGCAGTAGTGAAACAGCTTTTACATGACCAATGCTTTATCATCTTGGTCACATTGAAATGCATCATTTTATTGTACTTTTCGCCTCTTTCAAATTGTAGAGGCTGAAGTAACCCTCCCACCTCCCATCACAAACTAGAGAACTACAATATAAACTATAAGTAATTCAAAATAAGTGAAAAACCTAACTGCATTCTTGAGCAACAGTCTCCTACATACTACCAACCCTGGAAGACTTATAATCAAATCATATTCTGGTGTGTTTTTTTGTTTTTCTTTCCAATTAAGGTTGAAAGCAGTTTGAACAAGGCTACTGCCTATTCACAAATGGCACTAATTTTCCCGTTTGAGTATATCTTTTAACTTCAGCTGTTATGCCCTTGGCAAGGAAGTAGAAATGAACTGGACAAGACTAAAAGATTTCGTGGGTTTGATTTGCTGTGGATGTGAAGTTGGGTTTGCAAATGGCAGAAGACAACTACTCCCTTCCCTGCCACTGGAATTAGTGTAAAAGGGTGCTGGGGAATCTGACTCTCAGAATTCCTCTTTTGGTTCTGAATTCATGTGAACATAGGCTTACCAGGCAGAATTATGCTCAGCCCATAGAGCTGGTTTCATTAATTTTCTCCTCACAGTCTTTCATCTCTCTCAGTACCAGTCCTTTGTAAGAGGCAGGGCAGATTAGAGAAATGGAAACTGGGCCACAAACTACTTAGCATGAATGCCCCCAAGGCCAGTAAAAATTGCATTTCCCCTTGCTAAAAGTATAATTTGTAATTAATATAACCATTCTTATTTTACTCAAAGGATTGGTGCTATTTGTGATGTTAAAAAATAGTCCCTCAAAAGAGGAATTTCTCTCAAAATGGAAATTACTTATTTAATTAACTTTTATAATACATTTAATTTATAAATTGGTCTCAAATGTTGAATAGCTTGGAAAGTGGTATATAGGTAGCATACAGTAGGTTGTATATTTGATAAAGCCATGATTAAGTATTTTCAAAGGAGATTTATTTTGTCCGTTGTCCACTGTGTATTTTAATACATTCAAAAACTACATATTGGCTAAAAAGGCAATTATACAATAAAGAAGAAAGTATTAGGGAATCTGATTAATGTGTATAAATTTTGATCCCAAGCTCTTCTTTTTCACCCTTTCCTTGATGCAAACCAACACACACGTACACCATAATCATGTTTGAATTTCTTCCCCTTCATCTCAATCCTCTTCAAAATTATTTTGATAATTTCCTGGACTCCTCACATAAGATGTGGAGAAAAAAGTCTCAATACCCATGAATAAAGTAAGCACATTAAAGCACTTATACCGTACCAATGCAATAACTGATTTACCTTCTATACACATTTTTAAAAAGAGGACAAAGTTAAAAAGTCCTCAGTGAAGATACATTTCAGAATACAAAGATCACGTTTCACTGTTTCTTATTTAAGACTGACCTACTCTAGATTCAACAAGTTTTTTTTTTCTAGTCTATAGAAATACATTTTAACAAAAAAAACCTTTCTTGCTCTCATACAAATGTTTGAAACACTTGGGAGATTACTCCTAAGGAAACAATCTGTAAAATACATCAAGAAACTGTTAAAACATAATTATTGATTCTTTTGTTAATTTAAGATTTCAAAAAATTAGAAAAGAACTATAAAAATATTATTCTCTAAAAATCATACCATTATATGTATTCTAAAATGTCTTCAAAAAGCCATTTGGTCTTAAAGCTAGATTTCATCCCTGAAATGTTAGTAATCAAGAACTTAATCTATTTCTTTCTTACAGCTTAAATTTGTTGAGACCCCACGGTGTTTATATGTTAAAACTACTTAGATACATTAAATGAAGAAAAACTGTGGTAATTACATAAAAATTTTAATAATACCTACTATCATTAAGTGTCAATGTCCTAAGCAAAAGACATCTTACAAATGTATTAATAAAGAAAATTGTCAATGTAAATGATTTAAAGTACTCTGAATTATCCCAAATAGCTACCCACAAAATTTAACTACAATTTTAAGGCAAACCAAGATAAATATTTTTTAATCTGAGAAAAAAAATCATACGCGGAAAAATTCTTCTATTTCATTCAGTTTAATACCGTTCACTTGAGGATTTGAGATTTACAAATGTGCACTCTCATTAAAATTCTAAAAGTACAATACATAATTTTATGCTACCTTTTAATTTTAATTCCTCAAGCATTTTATAGCTTCTAGAATAGTTATCTAGTTATTACTTTGTACAAAAATAATATCCTTAAGTTTTCTTCCCACTTGCATTTTTAGAAAATGCTCAAGTATAAAAGCAGTTTATACCTCCCTTCTTAATCATCTATTTAAAATTTCAAAAAGAGACAATAGTTCATGTTCTCAGTCAAAGCTTTGTCCCTGATGCAGGCTCTTCAGAGTTATAAAACTTCACCCAGTGAGTAACTGTACTTTCTAAAGGAGCTTCTTGATGTTTCCCTACATTTACCTATCATGGAAGCAATATCCCCATGTACAATAAAGTCCTAATATGGCATAAATAAAGAATAAACATCACATGCTGATAATTCCATAAAGTCTGATAACTCTATGAAGATAAACACAAATAAAAAACTTTCATTTGGGGGCCTAAAATTCAGCTTAAGAGGTTGTTTTACATCCTACGTTTGGGGAAGTTGCCCAACTTTCATGAGGCTTTATCACAAATTAAGAAAAAAAGGGGGAGCAATTATAGTTCTTATACACAGGCTTAAACCACTGTTATTTTTACATTTGTCCCTTAAAATAAAGACTAAGGCCTTCACTTAAGGATTAATGTCTGGAGAGAATGAAAAATAACCAGTATTAGACTTGAAAAATAACTTAAAAGTCAGTCCCTCCCCCAACCAAACACAAAACTCCACAACAAATAAACCTAAACTTGGTTGTCAATTTTAAATCAAATTTGTACCAATTCAAGCAACATTTATTTAAAACAAAGTATAAAACAGAATACTGTTTATATTTCTGTCCATGTGTCCATGAGAGAAACATTTTAATGCAGAGGTAATAAACTCCAGAAGAAAAAAAAAAAGGATCATTTTCCTAATTCACTTCAAAGCTGCCTCGATTTCACTGAAGAAAGCTGAAAGGCCCGACTCCAGAAACTAGAGGTCCCCGGGCGGTGAGGGGTGTCCAGCTACAGTCTCAGCTCCAACACAAGTGTGGGTCTTGAGCTGTCATTCTTAGTTCTAATACCACTTATGCAGCGACAAAAACCGTCCTGCAAGAAGCCGATTAAAGGGTCACTTTACGCTCAAGTTTTCCTTAACTTCTCCCCTGCCAAAGCGGCGCTAAGTGAACATTTCTGTCGTGCTTTTCACGACAGCCATTGTCTCGCTGTAGGATCTCAGGCTCTTTTAAGTGAAGTACTGTTGGAAATACCAGGATTTTACAGCGCATCATTTTCCCACCTGTATGTGGCGAAAACAAACTCTAATACTAGCAGGAGAGGATTTAAAACACACGCCTAACTTCTCTTCACTCTAAGAGGGGAAAGCAGAGAGCAAGTTGTAAAGTGGTAGTAATTTTAAATAGAAATTGGGCTCTGATAAAACATCACTGGTTGAAAGCTCTCGCCCCTAACTCGCTCCTGGACACACACAGTTCCTTCTTTGAGGTTTAGGGGAAGAGAGCGGACCTGGGACTTCGGAGATCCTGCCAGCGGAAACAACCTGCTATTTGGGCAAGAGGAGGAGTCGGTTCTGCGCAGAGCCAGGGCCGCCGTGCCCGGGATGCGCCGGACCCGGCCGCAGCATCCTCGCTCGGGTGCCCGCCGGCGCCGGCGGCCCTCGGACCCAGGCGCGGACGGCCTTGTGCCAGGCCCCGAAGCCCCTTCTCAACTCGGGGAGAGAAGCGCCCCCGCCCCGCTTCCCGCGAGTTCCTCGCTTACCTGCGAGTCAGGCTGGAGCGCTGAGGCGCCGCGCGGCCTCCCGGACGGGAGGGGCGAGGGGAGAGCCCAAGCAGGGGCGGCCGTCCCGCCTGCCCCTCAGCCCCCGCCGCCCTCAGGCCGCCGCCTCTCCTCTCAGGTCCGCGCCAGGGGCCGCGCGTCTTTCTCCTCGGGGCGCCGTACGTGGAATCTGCGCGTCCCGGGCCGCGCCCCAAGTTGTGCGCAGGTCGAAGCTGCACGCGAAGCACCTCCAGGGAGGCCGTCCCGGCCCCAGAGCCACGGCCTCCGCCTAGCGCGGACGAGAGTAGATGACCCGCACCTCCGTCCGGTCCACACCTGCCGCCGCCTGGGCCGCCACCGCCGCGGCTCCTCCCCGGCTCCGCCCCTCGTCCGTCCCCCGCTCCGGCCGCCGCAGCTACCGCTCCGCCCGCCGCAGCTACCGCTCCGCCGCCGCCGCCGCCACGGGAGGGTGGGGGAGGGAACAGGCTCCCCGAGCCCGAAGCGTGAGCTGGTCGCTACGCCTCCTCCCTCGGGCTGAGGCGGGACCCAGCTCTCCACCCTGCGGCGCCGCTCCGGAACGCCGGAATCTGTTGAGGGGAGCGGCAGCCTTTTTCGGGTGGGAGCGTCTCGCAGAGAGTCGGAGCTAAGGAAGGGAGAGGGTGCCCACCTGCGTAAGCCCGAGCTCCCCTCGTGCACTCTCCGAATCCAAACTTAACCAAAGGCACAGCGGAAGTGCCTCCTAGGTCGGACCCCTGCATTTGTAGGGGTCTTCGAAAAACCTGGCCGGTTGCCTGGGCCCCCTGGTGTTAACTACCTTTGGAACAAGCAGGGGGGCCTTCCATCTGGAGTGGCCCCTCCTGTGTTCGCAACCCTGTGGGTGCCTCGAGGCCTGTCTCAGATGCCGTCTCTACCGTGCAATTTTCCCGGGTGCCCACCCGCGTCCAGATTTGATTTCGCCCTCATTTGGACTGCGGGGGCTCTCTGAACCTTTTTACCGGCTCTGCCTTTGGGTGACGGCGCTTTGTGAAATGCAACGGGCCGTCTCCAAGGACGGTACTTACTTTTAGTGTACTCTGTGGATTCATATTCAGTACTATCGTATAGAAGCAGAGGGATTTATGCTTCCCTAATCCTTTCCACTTGGGTTTAAATTCCTTGAAGGTTAAGGTTATAATAAATTGCTCATCTCTGGAACTTTTCAAGCAAATACTGAGCGGTACATAGAGAGAACGCACCAGATGACCTAGGCGGAAATTCTGCTGTCCTACTTACCGATATCCTCTGAAAGCCGAGCATGGCGCCTTGCACCTAGATGTAGGATGGGGGCGGAGGTAGGGGGAGATTTTATTTCTGTGTGAGAATGTAGTTAATTTTTGGCAAAGGTCAGTCTGATTGCCACAAAGAAAAATTCCACGGGGTGGAGGTCAGCGAGGCAAGGTTCATAGTGGTATTTTATTTATGGTGACATACACCTCCATGTAAAAAATTATTCAGTCAAAATGAAAAATATTCAGCAGATGTTCCCTAATGAGTTGGTACTTCCTAAAGGCCCCTTTCCTTAGCCAGCTATGGAAGATAAGTCAAATGCAGTTGATGTATTACATAATTTAGATTTGCATGAGCACTTGAACTCAAGGACTATATGAAAGATTCAAATTTTAAAATTTCTTTATAAAATACAGTGGAATAAAATATGTTTATATACCATTTGTCATGTCCTACACTTAAGTGTATACTTTGAGTTGAGAGGTCAGTAGTATTTAATGGTTAATGGTATTAAGAAAACAGATAGGAATCAAAGAAACTCATCTGCACTTCAGCTTAAAACAGGCTGAATTCATTAATTCTATTTTAAAGAACAGAAATGTCAAGCCATCTTGACCAAGAAATAAGGAACACAAATTAACAAGGTTATTTCTATTAAAATATTCCTGGTAGCTCTTGAAAACTAAGTTTTCAAAATTTATAGTCACAGTATAAAGGAAAAGTCAGATATTTTGCAAATTATGAAAACTGTGCCTTGAGATGTAAAAGATTATGAACCTTATAAAGAGCTAAGTGCTTTTAAATATATTTAATATATATATACATGCTATATGTGTGTGTATATATATATATTTAGTGCAACTTGTTTGTAGAAAACTCAAAATTAAAAGCACTCTTTGAAGTGAAAAAAAATAACCCATTAACTTTATCATGGAAAGCATAGTATCATCTAACTCAAAAAGCTGTTTTAAACATAATATGTAAAAAGAAAAAGGTTTCATTATAAGTGAGTTCCACTAGGCAAGACTTCATGCAAATCCAATAGGAAAAGATACTGAATAAGCAAACATAAGCATTTCATTTGTGGAACATATTTTTAAACTTCTATACAGAAGCCCTGAATAATGTTACAGAAAAGATTATACAATTACTTAACTAAAATTATGTATCATAATACCATGACTAGAAAAAGGCTAAAGAAGGGATAATTAACCTTTAATAGTAAATATCAACCCAAACAAAAACTATCTTAAGCTCACAGAAAAAGAATTATCTTTTAGACTCCAATTTGAGGCAAACAAGCTATTTTCCTTGAGACAAACACATAGTGTGATTCACAATAAACCGAGGAGTAACAGAAAGCCATAAATGGCCCACACTGCAAACCACATAGGCATCTTTCACTTAAACTATCGAAAGGGCTGGCCCAGGGAACTTCACATACAATTGTTTGTTCACATTTTACTCCATCACAATGAAAACACTGTCTGAAATTTGAGAAATTCTTCCTCAATCTTCACCTGCAAGGGAAAGGTGAAATACTATTCACTTTCTAGCTGTACCTAAAAATGAACAAATAAGCCAAAATTTCTCCCAGCACCTAAATAATTTCTAAATATATTACTTGCAAAGATTAATTTATTGTTTCAGTTATTACTAGTTTCTGTACCTTAAAACTGTTCAGTGTTACTTGTCCCATCCTTACATTACACGTCCACTGACAACCCAGGATTTTCACAAGAGAGTACAACAGAATCTTTCAAGTTTAAGTACACACATGGATATCATACCCATCCACCCCCACCTCCCCAAACAAATGCAGTACAGGACAAACCGGAGCAGAAGAACTAAAATATCTTTTTCAAAAATAAATATTTACAATAATTATGGAACAAATCATTAACAGAAAGTGTATAAGATGTACTTTCTATTCTGTTTTTAATTAATTTATTTAGAAAAAAGTTTCCCCCATAAGCAAATTTGAATTTGGGTGATTATTATTGGTGTTATTTTTGAACATTGAAGTGGTGCAAGAGGCATGGGAAAGAATTTCTTACTTAGAAGCCTTTCTGTCATCCTTTAAAATTCTGATAAGCTTTTATACCGAAGTAAGCAGATAATTTCAGTTTAAATGACTCACCTCTTTGGCGACAATGACAAACACTTTTGTTTTCTCTTTAGTGAAAAAAAACTTGCTAAAAAGACAAAAGAATAGATATCTACGCAAAAGTTAATGTCTGTTAAAACTAGATAGTGGGTATATGGATATCTGACATTTTGAAATGTTCATAATTAAGAATAAAAATTGAAATAAATAAGAGAATATAACAATGGTAAGTAAAACATTAAAGTAAACTGAAAATTATTTGTGATTCCCCATTTGTCCTTACACAGTTTTTTAACAGTTTAGTTATCTTCCATCTGTAGTTTTGTGTGGCTGCAATCTCATGCCTGCTACTTTCTGGATAAGAGTTCTAACTGTGGTGAAACATTTTTGGTGCATGTAGAAATGGGGAAATGAATATTTCTAAAAGAAACAATGCCATGCTTTTCAAAGTAAATATTGTAGTTAAAACAGGAATAAGCTGAAAATGTTATATGACATATATCTTTTATTCTATGCTGAGTTTAGAATGTCATTTGGCATGCTAGTGTTATTTTCTTTAAACAATTAGTCAAAACACATTTTATTTCACCTAACTTCCATAAAGTAGGAATAGTGAAAGAAATATTTATATTATTGAAATAAACTGAATATGAAAAAATACCCTTTTTTGCTCCTTATATGTTTTTTTATAAGAACATTTATTGAAAGTAATGGTTTTCATTCCCTTGAATAAAAATATGAAGTGACATAATCTTGGATTGTGCAATTGCCATTAGGTATAAGTATTATACATTTATTAAATGCTAAATCAGTTTCCGTAATTTTTCAATGTTGCCAGTTCAACCCCCATTTTAGGAACTATTACTAAATGTTTCTTAATTGAAAGTGTAATCAATAACCCCAGCTGCTAAAAAAGTTTCACGAGTTGCTAACGTATAGAAAGTTAATCTGTGGCTCAGAAATAAATCTATCTTTCTGATCAGTGGCCTTGTTTATCTTTGACGCATTCATATTGTGAAGACTCATAGGGTGGCAGTGGTACCTATAAGGGAGAGTGGTGATTCTCAACTCCAACGCACACATTGATGATACAGGTTTACATGGGCTTGGCATCATTTATTAAGTTGTGATAGTGTAATTCTCAGTACTTGCTAACTCTGATTCCACCTCTTGCTCCTCTCTTGAAAGCAAGTGAAAGAAATGATTTTAAAGGGATAATCTTAAATTTGCTCTAATTTAAAGAGATAAATCATTCATATACATTACTTGTAATCCACCTCAGATCTTACCAAGACACACAGGTACTTCTGTTAAGTACCACAAAAGTAGATAGAGAACTGTTTAATACAAAACTCAGGTCACAGTGTTATCCTAAGGAAAAAAGTCAGTTTACTCTCTCTTACCTAACACCTGGTGATATCTTCCTCTTTGTATAGGTTTGGGCTCTAGTTGAGTGGTGAGATGGAGCAGCTCAAGGCTATATAGGAGAAGAAGATGGGAGGTGCTGCTCCAAAGTGCTTTGCAGTAGAGATAAAGAATTGGATCCATTACCAGTCTTATTACTCAATAAGTGTGCTCCACAGACTAACAGAATCAGCATCACCTGGGAATTTGTTAGAAATGCAGAATCCTGGATCCCACCCCCAGATCTACTGAACCAGAATATTTAAAGAAGATCCCCAGATGACGTGTGTGCACGATAATATTTGGGAAACACTGAACTAGAGAAACAACAGCATTGAGATAAACATTTCCAATCCTGTGGTTTTGGTTCCCTGGCTTTTCTTGCTGGGGAAAAGCAGAAATCTTCAGGTCACTACCACTCCTGGAATTTTTATTAAGGCCTCAAATAGGAAACAAGATTCTTGGGGCAAGGATTTTAGAGCAACATTAAAAACTGAGTCACTGAAATCATAGATTAATAGAGACACAAAGTTACCTTGAGAAATCATATCACCTTTGCCCTTCTTCTTTCTGGACATTTTTTGTTTTGTTTTGTTTTTTTCAAGGACCACATCAAAGCCTCCTAGTTGGGTCTATAAGTGAGTTTCAGGGGCTGACAAATCCACTGAATATAAAGTGTGACTGTATATATATATATTTTAAAAGAGAGCTCTTAGTGTTCACCAAATTCTCAAAGGGTCTGCCCCTAATTGTTTAAGAACCACTGATACATCTTACTTTCCTCTAAATCTTATTTCATTGTGTCAATCCTCAGATGTCAAGTTTTTAAAAAGTATCCACTTGAAAACATTGCTTATTTTAATTTTCATTCTTTTTGTTTCATTATGGGCAGCATATTGTCAGTACCATAAAAAAAAAACCTCAGCATCAGTGCTTTGTCTTTCAGTCAGCTGTCTGGACAAAATATTTTCAGTGATGAAACTATTTCTAAAGTGCTAAATACTTAAGGGTCAACTTAAACTAAAGATTCTGGAAAACCTGTCCCTTTGTGTGTATGTCTCTCCCAATAGTAAGAGGGCAGCAATTGAAGAATTCCAAGTACCACCCTAAATTCTAGCCATTCTCTCCTTATTCAAAAGGAACTGGATTGATTACTTCAAGGAATATATTTATTAGAGAAAAGGAGAAAAGTAAAGAAATGATGAACTCTGTTTTGAACCATTCTGAACAATGTAAGTAATGGTAAGCTACTTTCTCTAAGAAAGTATTAATACATCTTGCCTAAAGTAAAGAACTTTTATCAATTTAGCACACTAAATTAGAATTATTTTAGAGTGATACAAAGTATGTGTTAGTCATCCCATTATTGTAGCATTGTAGTGGGTGCACTGGAAAATGTATTTAGGCTTTGGAATGAAACAGATCTCCTGTTTTACTCCTCACTCCACCTCTTACCTGGGATAAATCCCCAACATCTTTGTTCCTCAGTTTGCACACCAGTAAAAATGGCAAAAACACT